GCGGTTAATCGTTACATCCCTACTACTAACCCAAAACAAAATAGTATATCTACAGATCTAGTGCATTAAATCTAGTAAATATGTCTAGCAACCCAGAACACCCTAGTAAATCTACAGATCTAGATCTAGTAAACCAGAACTAGTTAATCTGTTTGTCTAATAACCCAGAACACCTGAGTGAATGTACAGATTTAGATATAGTAAATCAGAACTAATAAAGCGGTCTATATATTAGTAACTCAGAACATTCTAGTAATTATACAGGTCAAGAGCTAGTAAATCAGAACTAGTCAATTTGTTTGTCTAGTCACCCAAAACAAAATAGTAAATCTACAGGTCTAGTAAATCAAATCTAGTATTTTTTTCTAGTAAGCCAGATCTCCCTAGTAAATCTATAGATCTAGAGCTAGTAAACCAGAACTAGTTGATCTAATAAATGATATGATCACTGATCATAACCTAGATGTGCTCTGTTTGACAGAAACCTGGCTAAAACCTGATGATTACATTATTTTAAACGAGTCTACCCCCCCAAGATTACTGTTATAAACATGAGCCACGCCCAAAAGGTAAAGGGGGAGGTGTTGCTACAATTTATAACAATATTTTCAGTATTTCTCAGAGGGCGGGCTTCAAGTATAACTCGTTTGAAGTAATGGTGCTTCATATAACATTATCCAGAGGAACAAGTGTTAATGATAAATCCCGTGATGTATGTACTGGCTACTGTATACAGGCCACCAGGGCACCATACAGACTTTATTAAAGAATTTGCTGATTTTATATCCGAGTTAGTGCTGGCTGCAGATAAAGTTTTAATTGTTGGTGATTTTAATATCCATATTGATAATGAAAACGATGCACTGGGATCAGCAATTCTGAACTAGGGCTGTCGCGGTGAGGGAATTTCCCTTGCGGTAATTTTGAGGGGCTCAATAGCGCGATATGCGGTATTATCGCCATACATATACATATACACATATACACATATATATATATATATATAATTTGTGTGCAATGAAACCGAAACCAAATAGCGTTGAAACAGGAAGTGAAGTAAACAGAAGAGAACGACTAAATAACGGTCCACATAACAGAACATAAACCTGACAATAAGATCGTTAGGCTATCGTTAGCCTATATGTATAACAGTTAGCCTAGTTGTAATCTGATCTTCTAATCTGACTGGACAAGAGACTTTCTATTGCTATTTCCTCCTGCGCGCGTTCTAGACAGGCTGTCAGGCAGTGCAGTTACAGTGTTCTTCCACAAGGTGGTGGAAAGGGACTGTCATTCAACTACACGTTCAAAAACGCTGATTCATTCATTCAAAGAGACGTAATGAAACACGCTGTTGAAATCATTTTAACTTTGAGCGCCACTTTAGAAGGCTCAGCTGACCAGCTATGAGTCGATACTAAGACAGAGATTTTGCTTTCCTTGGACATGACCACCTATTTTCACAAATATATATGACTCAGCCTGGAGGACAGACGCAAGTAATCGCACGCGCTCAGTCGATCTCTCATACACAGTCTGTTTAGGCTTTTTAAGTGCAAATCTACGGAGCCTCTGTACAAATCAGCATGGTACACATTATGTTATCATTACTAACTTGTTTAATATTCAGTCCACATGCATGAAGTGTAAAACGAGAAGGGCATAACC